GACTTGTTAGTTGTGCCCCAAGATCGCATCTTACGGACTCGTCTTCTCGGGGAATTCCACGACGCACGACTTTCGGCACACCTTGGCGTGAACCGCACATTGGCACGCCTCGGCCAGCATTTTCACTGGCCCGACGTCCTTCATGATGTCACGAGGTACATGGAGTCATGTGCAGTTTGCCACCATAACAAGGGTCGATCTCGAGTCCCCTTCCGCGAACTGAAACCGTTGCCGATTCCTCGGGCACCGCGCCTCTCCATTGCTATGGACGTAACAGGCCCGTTCCCCCGCGATCGTCACGACCATGACGGTATTCTCACGGTCGTTGATCGTTTGAGCAAGTATGCTCGCTTTCTTCCTTGCAAGTGTCATGCTGCAGCACCCGAGCTCGCACAACTCTTGCACACCGGTTGGATTACCAACCAGGGTGTTCCAAAAGACATAGTGAGCGACCGAGATACTCGCTTCATGTCGACCTTTTGGACCTCCCTCATGGCCGAGTCCGGTACGACTATGAAGTCGAGCTCAGCTCAGCACCTGCAGACGGATGGCCAGACGGAGCGAGCGCATCAGACCGCGTAGATGATGTTGCGTACGCTCATCCGTCCCAACCAGAAAGATTGGGTTGACCGGCTTCCCGACATCGAGTTCGCCTATAACACTTCGGTGCACCCGGCGATCTGCGTCACATCATTCGAACTACATCATGGTGGAGAGAAAGCACGGATCTTCGCTGATCTCCTTTTGCCACAAGCTGCCCACATAGACGTCCCTTGCTCTCCCGCTTCCGTTCGGAAGTACCAGGACTTGCTGATCAAAGCCCGCGCGAATATGCAAAAGGCTGAAATCTGCATGCAACAGCAACAGCAAGCTAACCGACGTTGACTTCCATATCCTTTCCGCGAGGGACACCTTATTTGGGTCCTCTCCGAGGAATTTGCTCTCGAGCAGGACGTTTCGCGCAAACTCCTTCCGAAATGGTTCGGACCATGGGAAGTCAATTCTGCCGTTGGAGACGACCCCGCAGGTCCTTCCTTCGCGATCAACATTCCACCGCACCTTACAGTGCATCGGGTCTTCCACGCATCGAAGCTGGCCATCTACACGCCACCTTCAGTTGCCGAGTTTCCCGGACGTCGATCACATGATCCGCCTTCCATGGACGGACATGAGGAAGTGGACCGAGTCATCACACACCGCAAGTATGGCAACAAGCCAATGCAGTACAAAGTCACATTCAAGCAATGTGCGCCTGACTATGTGTCCGATATTCGATTCAACGGGGGTCTGGAGTTGAACAGTTCAACTCCCTTTGAACCCCCGTTGCAACTCCGCGTTATACCCCGTTAAAACGGGGTACAACTCGGCCCGCAAATTTTTTTTTTGACTGGGAAAAAATGGTAAAAAATAAAATAAAATATATGGGGGTGTAGAGGCTTTCGCGCTCTACATCCCCATACATATATATATATTTTGAGGAAGTATATGAATTAAAAAAAATAAAAAACAGTTGGAAAGTAAGTTTAAAGGGAAAATAAACGACCCCTGGCAAGCCGGTGGGGGGGGGGGCGCGCGGGGTGGGGGGGCCCAGATCGGTCGCCGAAAGCATGGGACCGTTTGCTGCTGAAACGCGTAAAACGCGCGCGTGTCATGCAACAAACAACACGGATCGGCCACAAAAAAGGCCGAGTGTCGAAAATTTGTCACATTGTGTCATTGCCGTTGTGAGAGGAGCAGCCACTCAGCAGCGCGCCGTTGTGCAGTCCGGGAGCCGTTGGTGTGGCACTGGACGCGCGGTGAGATCTGGCGCAGGGTCGACTACCAACGGTGCAACGGGGGTGGATGGGGGCATGAGGGGGCGCCGCCGCGACAAACGGGCGAACACCAGGCGATCAGCAGACGATCAATGGGGGGATCAACGGGGATCAACGGGGGATCAATGG